AAAAAATCCAGCCAGGCGGTGGTGGCGCACACCTTTAATCCCAGCACTCTGGAGGCAGAGGCAGGCGGATCTCTGTGAGTTTAAGACCAGCCTGGTCTACAAGAGCTAGTTCCAGGACAGGCTCTAAAACCACAGAGAAACCCTGTCTCGAAAAAGAAAAAAAAAATCCAACATCAAGATGGGCAGTGGTGGTGAGAGTCTTTAATCCCAGCACTCAGGAGGCAGAGGCAGGAGAATCTCTATGATTACTAGACCAACCTGGTCTACAGAGGAAGTTCCAGGATGGCCAAGATTGTTACACAGAGAAACCCTGTCTCAAAAACTAACAAACTAACAAAAAAGTAAAAAATAAAAAAAAAAGCCAGCATCCAATAAAACTTTATTAAACCAAGTGTAGTAGGGCTCCCCTGTAATTCCAGTAAGAGGCAGGGGATGAGTTCTGAGTTCTGGGACAGCCTATGCAACAAGCAAAATTTGAACTCAAACAAAACAAAACTTACTAGGGACTGGGGAGATGGCTTGATTTTTCGAGACAGGGTTTCTCTGTTGCTTTGGAGCCTGTCCTGGAACTAGCCCTTGTACACCAGACTGGCCTTAAACTCACAGAGAGCCACCTGCCTCTACCTCCCAAGTGCTGGGATTAAAGGCCTGTGCCACCACTGCCCAGCTGAGATGGCTTGATTTTTAAGACCAACTCATGTAACTAGCTGGCTGTCTTGAACATGCCTGTAAACTCAGCTCCCAGTGGAGCAAAGTCAGATTATTGTCTTAAAAAAAAAAAAGTGGGCTGGAGAGATGGCTCAGAGGTTGGGAGCACTGCCTGCTCTTCCAAAGGTCCTGAGTTCAATTCCCAGCGACCACATGGTGGCTCACAACCATCTGTAATGGGGTCTAGTGCCCTCTTCTGGCCTGCAGGCATACACACAGACAGACTATTGTATACATAAGAAATAAATGGATATTTGAGAAAAAAAAAAAAAGTGAACCCCGAGTTCTGGAAAAGACCCTGGTGCATAGGACAGGTGGAGAGCAGTAGAGGACACCCTCTTTTGATCTCCACTCAGAGCAGAAGACCGTGTGACACCCTCACACACATTCACATAGACAGACAGACAGATACAGACAGAAAGAGGTCTAGAGAGATGGCTCAGCAGTTAAGAGTATCTGCTGTTCTTAAAACCAGCCTACAATTCACAACCCCAGAGAACCTAGACAACAAAGAGGACCCCAAGAGAGACATACATGGATCTAATCTACATGGAAAGTACAAAAAGACAAGATCTTCCAAGTAAATTGGGAGCATGGGGATCATTGGCGAGGGTAGAAGGGTTGAGGGAGGAAGGGAGGGGAGCGGAGAAAACTGTATAGCTCAATAAAAACAATAGTAAAAAAAGAGTATTTGCTCTTCTTGTAGAGGACCTGGGTTTGGTTTCCAGAAGCCACATAGCAGCTCACAAACATGTGTAACTCCAGATGCTGGGGAAATGATGTCATCTGGCAACCTCTGCTGGCACAGGGCACACACACAGTATACAAACATACCTGCAGGCCAAACACGCATACACATAAAAAAATAAAGAAAATAATAAAAGAGTGAGTGAGTATGTATATATAAATATATATGTGTATGTGTGTATGTATGTATGTATATTTAGCTGCACAAGTAGGAGGAACATGAAGTGATGTTTACTTCACCTAGGTAATTTTTGGTTTTAGTTGTTTTATTTTTTGAGATAGGTATCCCTGGCTGGTCTGGAACTCCCTTTGTAGACCAGGCTGGTCTCAAACTCAGAGATCTGCCTGCCTCTGCCTCCAAGTGCTGGGATTTAAATGCGTGTGCCACCACCATCTAGTGTTTTTTTTTTTTTTTTTAAGTTTTTCAAGACAGGGTTTCTCTGTAGCTTTGGAGCCTGTCCTGGCACTGGCTCTTGTAGACCAGGCTGGCCTAGAACTCACAGAGATCCGCCTGCCTCTGCCTCCCTAGTGCTGGGATTAAAGGCCTGCGCCACCACCACCCGGCCACCATCTAGTGTTAATTGGAAATTTTGCCTCTTTTATTTTAGTTGCGAGTAGAGGTATGCTCTCACTACGTAGTCTAGTCTGTTCTCAAATTTGAAATCCTCCTGCCTTAGCCTTTCAAATGCTGGGATCACATGTGTGTCGTTCTGCTCCACCTGAGCAGAAGTGGTAGGTAAGAAGCAGGGTAGGAGGGTCTGTAAATGCTAGCCTGCCCAGCTTTCATTTCCCTCCGTGTTTGGCAGCAGAAGGAACAGCAGGCAGGTAAAAGTGGTCTTCTATTGTCACCACCGTTGTGAGGGCCTTCCTTACTAGGACCCTTGACCCTGAAGAGATGTAAGCTCTCTGGAACGCTGGCTGGGACCAGGACCTGCAGGTTCTGCTTAGGGTTAGGATTTAGGGTTAGGTTAGGGCACTTTCACCTCACGTTATCTTTTTTCTTCCTACCTGGCCTCTTTTGAATTGTTTAGCTACTTCTTTAGGAGCCTGTGTCTGGCTCTTTCCAGAACTCCATGGTAACAACTCAGGGTTTCTATCTCTGTCAGGACTGCATTCCAGAACCAGGATGTGAGCCTTTGGGCCCCAAACCACTCATGACCCAGCAGGCCTGGGGATGGAGTGTTCAGGATCACCTACCTACCACGGGCATTGCTATGGGAGGACCCCAGGCCTCCTTAGCTTTTTCGATAATTAAATGACAGTTGCCTACTCTGTGACTTTGGATGCCAGGTGACAAGCTGGGCTGCTTGAGAGCCTAGCAACAGACAGCCTCAGAAGCCTGGGAGGAATACCGGGACCTCTTCGGTTAGAAGCAACGGCTGCCCATGCTCCACTCTGGGAACTGAAGCAGGAGGCTCATCAAGCTGAGCTTTGTAGTTGCCCCGGGTAAGGGGGCATGAATTGCTGGGTCTGCCTCTGAGGCTGCCAGGACTTCCTCAGTTGTGAAGCAGTAACACTGACTCTCTTTAGCCAGCAAATTGCCACTCCCAACTGTCTTAGGCCAACAAGCCACCCCAGCTCCGCTGCCTCCACTGTCCTAGCTCACTATTGTTCTTCGCCTCTCTTTCTTTGTGTTATCAGTTCAGCCCACACTGCTGAACAGCGAGGCAGACCTCCGGGGAGCCGCCGTTATCAGGCCCGATGTTGCAACATCAGGGAAACCCACAGAAGAATTTCTCCCAGCCAACTCATTTTCTGCCACAAGGCATGCAGACAACAGAAAAGACCAGGAGGCCGAGGAAGTTCATAAGCCCAAAATACTGGATATAAATTTAGCAGGCCAGGCATCTCGTGTATGCCTGTAATCCTGCCACTCAGGGTGCAGAGGCAGCAGCATAAGTCTAGTCAAAGCTTTCAGGACAAAATATTCTTCCAGGCAAGTCAGGGCTGCACTGGGAGATCCTGTCTCAAAAATAGAATAAATCCAAAGGATTTTTTAAAAAAATTTCTAATTATGCATAAATACATGCAGATTCTGGCAAAGAGTTAGAGTACCAGACACCTGACACATTACATTGCTGGGAACTGAACTCACATCCTCCGGAGGACACATGCAAGCTTTTAACCACCAAGCCATCTCTCCAGGCTCCCAAAGGATAGTAAAAACAGAAACAGGCCAGGTGGTGGGGGCGCACACCTTTAATCCTAGCACTCAGAAGGCAGGTGGATCTCCGTGAATTTGAAACCAGCCAGGTCTACAAGAGCTAGTTCTAGGGCAGCCCTAGAACCCTGTCTTTAAAAAAATAGAAGAAAAAAGAAAAAAAAAAAAAAACAGAAACAAACTTAGCTGATGAAAAGTACAGAAAATAAGTTGCTCATATCAGAGTAAAGTAAGTAATAAATTTGGGCATTTTTCCTATTTCTTGTGGGGTTTTGTTTTTTGTTTGTTTGTTTTTTTTTTCTTTTTTTTTTTTTTTTTTTTTTTTTTTTTTTTTTTTTTTTTTTTTTTTTTTTTTTTTTTTTTTTTTTTTTTTTTTTTTTTTTTTTTTCGAGGCAGAGTTTCTCTGTGTAGCCCTAGCTGTCCTGGAAATCGCTCTGTAGACCAGACTGTCCTCAAACTCAGAGATCCGCCTGCCTTTACCTGAGATTAAAAGTGTGTGCCACCGCCACCAGGCTTCTTGTTTGTGTTTGAGACAGGGTTTCTCCATGTAGCTCTGGCTGTCCTGGACTTCACTATGTACACCAGGCTGCCCTCCAACTCAGATCTAGCCCCTACCGTGTCCCCCAGTGCTGGAACTAAAGGCATGGACCACCATGCCCGGACGAGATGACAAGATTTTAAAAGCCTTGTTCAAATTTCTCTTTCTGAGTACTGTGAATGTATTGTCTAGAATAAAATGGAACAGAACACCGGAGGAAAAAAAGAAAAGAAAAAAGAAAGGGAGGGAGAGAAGGAGAGGAGAAGAGAGACAGAGAGAGAGAGAGAGAGAGAGAGAGAGAGAGAGAGAGAGAGAGAGAGAGAGAGAGAGAGAATAAAGCCTATGGGCTGGGGATGACTCACAAGAAAGAACACTTTTTATGCAAGGGGACCTGAGCTCCAATCCTAGGCATCCATTTAAAAACTGTGCATGGTTGTAACCTCAACTTTCAGGGCAGTGACAAGCAGATCCCCGGAGCTCACTGACCAGCCAGCAGTGAGTGACAAGATTGCAAGCTTCAAGTCCAGTGAGACCGGGTCTCAAAGGACTAAGGCGAGGCTAGAGCACCCGACATTCTCTTGGGGCCACCCTCCTTAGGAGCCTTGCAAACACACCACGCTCGCAAAGAACCTAAAAAAAGGCCTGCTCCCACTACTGCTCAACGCCCCTGAATGTATCCTGCGAGACGAGTGCAGCCGCCTCGCCCTCCAAGTCCTCACATGGATGGCCACATGTCCCTTGGCCACAGTCTCTCTGCTAGGCGGAGCTTCCTCGGGATAAGTCCCTGGCTTCTCTCCTCTCCTTTCTCCAGAGCAAACCCACTGCTGTCTCGCTGGGGCCAATTACCTCTCCCTCCGCCAGGACTCGGGGGACGACCAATCCCACGCCTGCGGTCCTGCATCCCGCGGGCACAGTTCGCAGCCCACCGGTTGGCGGCCCTCACCTCGGTCTCCATGTCTCTTCCACGCTCCCACTCACACCCGGAACCTCGCTCGCTCTCAGAGCACCCAGAGGAGGAACTTGGCAATTATAGCCGAGGCTGGTGAGGCTTGTTGTTTACCGTCACTGTGGAAACCCCAGGAGCTTACTCCCGCAGGGATGTTGTCCTCACCCGGCAGGTGCAGAGCCTCGGGAAGCCCCTGGTGATTCTGGCGCCCTACCCCAGCTCAGCCCACTCCCCCAAGCATCTGGAAAGAGTAGCATGGATCTGAGTTTTGCTGGAACAGGAAGGTACCACTGTGCTCCATCAAAGTTGTAGGGCAAGAAGACAGCGGGAGACTGAGGCAGGAGCATCAGAAACTATAGGCTAGCTAGTAAGGATCTGTTAAGTAATGTTAAGTAAAGAAAATAAATGGAGGCTCGATGGTGGAGTGTGTAGTAGAAATCTTTTTTTTTTTTTTTTTTTTTTTTCGTTTTCAAGACAGGATTTCTCTGAAGCTGTGGCTCCCTTTTTAGACCAGGCTGGCCTTGAACTCAGAGATTCATGCCTCTGGGGGCTGGAGAGGTGGCTCAGCGGTTAAGAGCACTAACTGCTCTTCCAGAGGACCCGGGTTCGGTTCCCAGCGCCCACATGGCAGCTCACAACTGTCTGAAGATCCAGTTCCAGGGGATCTGACACCTTCACACCAGTGCACATAAAATAAAGTAAATAAACAATAAAAAAAGAGAGATTCATGCCTCTGCCTCCCAGGTGCTGGAGCTAAAAACATGTGCCACCATCCCTGTTGTGCCTAGCATTCTCAAGGCTTTGTATATAATCCCCAGCACCCAAACAATAATACTTAGAGGCAAATAGATAAAAACAGGTCTCAAGATTGCAAAGTCTGGCCTCTGTTGAACTTGGTCTGTACCTGAAGCTGGCCTTGAACTTGAAGTTGGCTGGAACTTTTATTCTTTCTGAAAATGGAATTAGAGGTGTGGTGCACTCCCCCAATCCCAGCTCTCTAAAGATGGAGATAAATAGAAGTACAAAGCCACCCTGGGCTGCTTAGTGAATTTAAGGCCCGGCTCCATGAGATCTGAGACCCTGGCTCAAGCAATAACAGAAGATAGATAGATAGATAGATAGATAGATAGATAGATAGATAGATAAAACAAAATGAAAAAAAAAATGGAAAATGTAATGTCTGGTTTATCCTTGGCAGTAAGCCTTGAAACCCCAAGGAGAAAACAGTTTAATCTCTTTGTCTTCTGTGCCATTAAGATTTACTGACTGGTAGAATTTATTTTCCTCTAGATCTTTCTTTTTTTTTTTTTTATGAGCCAGGTGCAGTGTCACACGCTTTTAATCCCAGCACTCGGGAGGCAGAGGCAGGCGAATCTCTGTGAGTTCAAAGCCAGCCTGGTCTACAAGAGCTAGTTCCAGGACAGGCTCCAAAGCCACAGAGAAACCCTGTCTCGAAAACCAAAACCAAAACAAACAAACAAACAAAAAAAGAGCTAGTTCCAGCACAGGCTCCATAGCTACAGAGAAGCCCTGTCTCGAAAAAACTAAACAAAACAAAAGTCCTCTCCACTCAGCCTCCTGAGTACATTCATTTCTTTTCTAATGTTGTTGTTTGTTTTGGGTTTTGTTTGCTTCTTTTTATGTGTGTTTGTTTTTCAGGCAGTCTCTGTTATGTAGGAAAAAAAGACTATAGGAAAAATATTCCTTTAGCCATTAAGGAAATCTAAACCAAATTGAGCAAGTCAGAATTACTGTTACTGTGCTGCCTAGATGTACGTCACCTTGACACAAGCTAGAGTCCTCTGAAGAGAGAGCACGTCAATGAAGACAATGCCTCCGTAAGATTCAGCTGTAGGGCTTTCCTCAGTGACTGATGGGAGAAGAGCCCAGCTCATTGTGGGTGAGAGTCCTAGGTTCTTTAAGAAACTGGAGTGAGCAAGCCAGTAAGCAGCACTCCTCCACTACCTCTGCATCAGCTTCTGCCTCCAGGTTCCTGTCCTGCTTGAATTCCTGACTTCCTTCAGTGATGAACAGTGATGTCGAAACATAAGTCAAATAAACCCTTTCCTCCCCAACCTATTTTGGTCATAATGATTCATCACAACCATAGTAACCCTAGCCGAGAAAGTTCTCAAGGAACACATCAAATGCTCACGGTGGGAATGGAAGTTAGACCACCTACTATGGAAATCGGTGGGCAGAGCCCTTAAAAAACTAAATTTGCAACTAGTCTATGCCTGGGTTGCATAATTCCTGAGAAAAGCCACGGGGCTTGGGTCCTAGAACCCCGACTAGGGACACTGAGGGCATGAAGAAGGGACAGGCACACAGACATATATACAGAAAAACTGGAGTCAGGTGAGAGTGTGTATCCGATGGACTGGACCTACTGCCTCTGTAACCGCAACCTCAGCCTGTTTATTAACTTCATCTCAGGTGGATGAGTTCACTGTTCTCAGCAATGGGTCTCTGTAGGCCGGCCGTCTCGGGCTATAAGCATCGGAAGGAAGGAGCCAAAGTTGCTAGTTTTACTGGTAAGTCCCTGGAACTTGGACCCATTTCTCTGAGTCTTACCCAAAGAAGGCTGTTCCACTTTGCCATGGTTCCATGCCTTGGTCCTTGTTGTGGCTGTGTCCACGTCTAGGATACGGTCACCCAGGACTTCAGTCACTGAGGGCTTCCTATGCCCCCTATGCAGAACAAACTCAAAGGAATTAAAGTCAACACACAGCTCAGATTCCTGCACATCCATGTTTATTGTAGCTCAATTCACAGTAGCCAAGACATGGAATTATTTTAGGTGCCCATCAGTAGAGGACTAGATAAGAAAAAATTGGCATTACACCCTCCAGAGTTGCAGGACAGGTAGGGCTGCACAGAGAAACCCTGTCTCAAACAAACAAACAAACAAAACCGTTCACTTTGCACAGTTTCTAATCATGTGTTCCTTCCTTTTCTTTCTTTCTTTCATTGATTTGTTTTTGGGTTTTTGCTTTGTTTTGTTGAGAGGGGTCTCACTATGTATCTCTGGCTGTCCTGGAACTCGCCCTGTAGGCCAGGCTGGCCTCAAAATTGAGCTTCCCCATGGGCTTCCAGTGTGCTGGGACTGGATTAAAGGTGTACACTGCCACACCAAGCAATCTAAATTTTCCATAGGTAATGTGTTTCTACTATTTCTACTGCTGTGTTGTGAGAAAACACCAAAAGCAGCTTGGGGAGGAAAAGGTTTGTTTGGCTCACACATTCCATTACAATTGATGATTAAGAAACTGGCGCCAAAGCTTGAGTGGAATGCTGCTTCCTGGCTTGATTTTTTTCTACAACTATCTGCTCATAGGTGGCCCCTCCCCAAGTGGGCTGGGCCCTCCCACATCGATCCTTAATCAAGAACGTGCCCACAGGCCAGTTTGGTGAGGACAGCTTCCCGTTGAGGTTCTCTCTTCCTAAATGAGTCTAGTTTGTGGTCAAGTTGGCAAAAAACTACCTGGCACAGACGACGTCTATATTTTTATGTTCTTACTGACATAATTAAGGAGAGCAATTAAAGTTTCTCAGCCTTCCTAATGCTACCTACCTACGACCCTTTAATACAGTTCCTCATGCTGTGGTGACTCCCAAACATAGAATTATTTTCGTAATTGCACTACTGTTATGAAATGTAATGTAAATATTTTTGGAGATTGAGGTTTGCCAGAGGGGTTTCGATGCACAGGTTGAGAAGCGCTGGAATAGAGGGACCCGAGATACTTTCTGTAAATATGCCTATTCATGCTTTCATGGTCTTCTTGCCTGGAACCTATCATCACTATGGGAAGTGTGCTTTCCCCAGCCTCCAGACTGGGCAAGGGACCATGTAGCCACCTCAAAGGACCTTTGCCTTGTTTCCAGGGTGGTAAGAGACAGTGGCACTTTCCTGATTAAAACCTACAAGAAAGCTTCATTGAGCCGGGCGGTGGTGGCACACGCCTTTAATCCCAGCACTCAGGAGATAGAGGCAAGAGGATCTCTGTGAGTTCAAGGCCAGCCTGGTCTACAAGAGCTAGTTCCAGGACAGGAACCAAAAGCTATGGAGAAACCCTGTCTCGAAAATCAAAAAAAAAAAAAAAAAAAAAAAGAAAAGAAAAAAAGAAGCTTCATTTAGCGTGCAATAACATCTAGAACATTAGGCAGTTCATTCCCATGTGTCAAAACAAACCCATTCTGGGAACAAGTAAAACCCTTGCAGTTATATTTACGATTGTCCATTATTCAAGGTGGTGCAGCTGCTGTGCTGGAAATGGGACAGCCTGCAAGGCAAGGGCTCTGCGACTGGGCTGCACCTATACCACCTGGGCACTAGCTTTTTGTGAATCTTTCTTTCTTGCTTTATTTATTTGCCTTTCTTTTTTTCCCTTGAGATGCCCTCTTAGTGTATGCCAGGCTGGCCTCAAACTCGCAGTCCTACTGTCTCAGACTCCTAAGTTACTGGAATGATTTTAGTTTTCTAGACCCTCATTGTGTTCTAAGGTTGCTCTTTCTATATGAAAGCACAGATGGCCGGGCGGTGGTGGTGCATGCCTTTAATCCCAGCACTCGGGAGGCAGAGGCAGGTGGATCTCTGTGAGTTCGAGGTCAGCCTGGTCTACAAGAGCTAGTTCCAGGACAGGCTCCAAAACCACAGAGAAACCCTGTCTCAAAAAACCACCCCCTCCCCCCCCCAAAAAAAAAGAAAGAAGAAAGAAAGCACAGATACCCTGAGGAGTTCACACACATAAGGATAACAAAAGTTCACAGCTCGTGGCCTTTGGTAAGATTTTTCCCAGTTCTTCAGAGGAAAGTAAGACCTCTGATGAATACATTGCCCTGCAGATTCTGCTGGTAGTCAGGGAACCGACTGTTTGGTGAGGGCCACTAGAGACCTGTAAGAGTCAAGAGAGGCAATGTAATCCTGCAGGGTGTACAAATGACCTGCACGTGAGTTTACCGCAGTGAGGCACCCGAGTGAAGGAGAAAGGATTGTAATAACATGTCATTTGTCCAAAAATTCAAAACAGAAAGAGTAGCGTCAAACCACTGTTAACATGTTTAGCTAC